TATTTTTGTAACGGTTGTGCAAAGATTTAAAAACTTAGATACCTTCATCATTGAGATATATAGTTATGGCATATTGGCATATCCAATATAATAGCTGCATAGTTAATAATTAATCAAAGACTTTTTAAGGGAATGGAATAATGAAGGAGTTTTAACATTTATTTTTAATTTTAAGTTTAATATTATGTTGATTGTAAATTAATAGCATAATTTAAACTGATTTTTTCATTAATTACTTACCAAGTTATAGAATAAGGTTTTTGAATTTTTCATTGATGATAGTGCACATAAGATATGTTCAAAACTATATAAACTCTATACCTATATACAGAAAACTTTTTATCATAATCAACTATTTTGAGTTTATATATATATTTTTATTATATATTTATATACTTGAAATAAAACTCATTAATCAAATAGAAAACGAATATTAACTACCAGGGCTTGTCATATTGTTTGTCATGCCATAAAAGTTAAATATTTTAATTTAAATATACAAATGTCAAATTTAACATAACCACATAAAACTAATTTATATTTTGCATTTATTACTAAAGCCCGCAATTAAATGTATTTGAAAAATGTAAAGGATGATACGAATATGCATAAAGAAAACTTTTTTAATCTAGAATTTATACAATCTATACTACAAAAAAAGTACAATAAGCATCATGTATGTTTAATTAAGTGCAATAGCTTGAATGTCTTGAGAGAAGAAACCGTCCAGTGAAGGTACTTCGACTTGAATTTAAAGAAAACGTAATCAAAAATAAAATTACATACAAAATAGTATTATAATATAATACTATATAATATAAATATAATATATTATATAATATTTATATAATTTATACTTAAAATAATTATTTTACGCCAATAAGGTATATTATCTAACTAAATTCGAAGCTTAACTTTTTATTAGTAACAAAGAAACAAACTTTTAATAGACTTAAAAATTAAAATGTAATACTCTATAATGCATATCTATTAGCTATTATATATTCGTATGTGTTTACGTACACGCTATGATCTTCCAAGTCTGTAACATTTTCGGAGTTAATTGGTATTTGAATATAGGGTCGTCATCATTTCGAACCCAAATACATGATGCTACAATGCCTTTAAATAAACACGCAACTTCACTTTTCAAAGCTTTACTATTATTACCTATACTATTGATTTTATGATAACTGATAAGTAGGTTGTAGATACATTTTATAATTTTATTATAAAATTAATGCCTATACAGGTGATCAGTTATCATTCAGAAATCTTCGATTGTTTAGTTTATAATAATAATTAATAAATAATAATTCAATGACAATAATTTTTTAGATATAACGAAATGTGCATATTCCCGGAGGTACCGCAAGCAATGTCAAAACTATTTAACTGTTAACTGTTTATTAGCAAACTTTATAATAATATGCCTTAATATTACTAACCGTTTGCTTTCGTTACTTTGGCGAAAACATGCAAAACACGCCCAATGATGATCCAGAAAATTATCAATATTTTTTCTTGCCGGGTGTAGGTATTGTCTGTTGGATACCTACAGAGTTACTATTACTGTGTCACCACTTATCAGTTTATCACTTATTATGATAGGTATGATAAAAACATTTTTCAATGTCAACTAACCGACTGAGTACTGAGTAGTGAGTGCATTAATGTGTGTTGCTCTGTAGATTGTAGATTATATCTTTCTTCATAATGTTATAAATTATATGTTATAACACAACTAAAAATATCCTAAAAATACACTAATATGTACATAATAAGTCAATTTAATGTATTATTAAAGCTTACTATACTCACAGTATAAACTGCTGAACACAAATTGGCAATGTTGTATAAGTTTTTAAACTGAAACAAAATTGATGATATACTAGCGTATGTCCTCTTATAATGAAAATCGGTTGATTGTTTGACAATAAATAGTAGGTATTCATTGGGATATTGACAAATTACTGAGTATTATTTGAGACTAATAATGTAATCAAATGTTAATCTGGTTTAAAAAAATTTGTGCAGCAATTTATTATTTATACACATATTATTGGTATTAAATGGAGTATTTAATCATATTAAAAGTAGAAATAACATAAAAATAAGTGTTCCTACTTATATATACATATGTATAATTAATTCCTGACTCCAGCACTGAGGTAATTGATATATGGCCTATGAGTTAATGGTGAATTAATAGATTATTACAACAACTTTCTAATAAAAAATAACTAAGATTCCGTTTAATTTAAACTTTAATACCTATATCAATTATATAGGTACGTTATAAGGTACCTATATGATTAATACAGTTAATTATCTATTTTCAATCCTAAGACATTTAGTTAAATGTCTTATAAATTATAAATATTAAATACTAAATAGTGAGTACAATGTTATATAGGTACCTATGTTAGGTTAAGCTTAATATAACAATATTAACAGTGAATTATCACCTTATCGAAAAATATATTAATTGTTTAAAAAAAAGAAAAAATTTTATTTTATTGCAAAGAATTGAATTTTTTTTCGAAATCGTTAACAATATTTTTAAAAACAATAATACTTTTCGAGATTATGCGTGTTAACTGAATCACTCTGTATGTAAGTGTTTTATCATATTTTAATATAAATTATCATTTATCATTTTTTCTAAATGATCTTAACGACCTAAATAATAACTATCTAGTACTTTATTTTTTTATTTAATGCGTTTTTAAAATTCATTATCGGTTTTATCGATAGAAATGTTTTGTGTTTAAAATAATTATTATACTACTAATTCTAAATTATTATATTTTATCACTACGGTAGACATACCTATTATTTATTCGATTGTAATATGTTGGTTATTGCTTATTACTATCATTATAATACATGTAATGTTCTCATGTATAGAATTAAATATTATTAATAATCACATTTTTAAGCACTAGGACTTGAGTCTCAGAAATTCGTAGTTATATCTTCGGACTATTATATTGAATTGTGTGATACGACATATATATGATCATTTATAACTTTGATTTCACAATTTTTGTGTGGGGCTATACGGCTATAATGTCCTTTTAACAACTAAAATGTATATAATTGTTATTTGCTATCTAAAAGTCCTTAAAGTCTAAACCCATAATTAATTGGAAAAATCAATATTATTTAAAATCCATGTTTCAGAGCACAATATTTTTTGGTATACTTCACTAATTTGGTTTGTAAAAATAGAATTTTGAATTGGTAGCTAATTATAATTATACGTATTTAGAATTATGATGAGGAGTGTAGTGCAAGGTTTTTAGATTACAGATTATAAATTATAACCTAAAAACCTTGGGTGTAGAGGACCAACATTTTGAACAGTATTTAGTATTTTCCCATCTGTGATCTTCCATCATAAACCACTACTCCGCTCATATAAATTTTAAATAAATAACTAATTAACATAATTTTTATGTGGCTATAAACATCAAAAAATATTCTGCATAAGAATATAAAATTAAAAATGTATGGGGTCATTCAAAAAGGTTAAAAATTATAACAATAAATACAATGTTTATTTTGTTATTAGGTACAATGAATTGTACAGTAAAAAAATTTAAAACTTTAAAATAATTATAGTTTATACTTTAAAGCCATTTCAATAGTATTTAGTGTTTACCTTGTATTTTTAAGCATTTTCTATACAAATATTTGGCACGATTCGTACTATTTATAAACATTTGAATGTTCAACTTGTATTAGTTATTTCTTCAATTTATGATGATGACATATTTATTTTTGTCTTAAAGCAATTTTAAATATTGCCAATACTGACCATTATTTTATATACGATTAAATTTCAAATTTTAAAAACATCATTTAGTACATTTATCTAAATCAATTTTGATTGCACTGTCATCGTAATTACTAATTAAAATTAGAGTTTTGGGAATGTACATCATTATATATTCAATCACTTGCGTATACGTATATTATTTACTTTAGAAAGTTAGTTTTTCAAAATACTTTGATTAATTTAAGCTATTCTTACCACAACCAAATACACATTATTCAACGTTATTTCAGTATTCACTTGTAAATTTGATGAAATGTTTTTGACAATAATTAGTTAAATCTACCAAATTAATAGAAATAATGAAAGACAATACAAAATAAACTAAAGATATCTTTCTAAATTTCGAGATTTAAAGTGTAATAATATACTCGAAAAACTATGAAAATTTTAACTTTGTGAAATGTAATAATTTTATAACAAAATGGGTACTTATAAGCAACCATCATGCTGCTCCCAATTTTAAAAAGTTTTCATTATTTTTAAATTTAATTTGAACAAATTAGGTTAAACATTAAATGTAATAGATAATTCTGAATAAATTCGTACTAAACAGGTAGGTACTTGAAAATATTTTAATTACATTTTTCTACGACTCATATATGCAGAAAAATGCAATAATTATTTTTCAATAAAAATTTGCTTAATCAAGTACTTAAATAATATTTGTATAATGTTTATATCTAAATGACTAAATAAATTATAATCATAACTATATCTTTCTGTTTTTTGTGAATGTATATCCTAATAAAATTTACATTTTTATTTTTAGGTAGTATTCATTTGAAAATAATTTTATACAAACAACAAGTACAGAAGTAAATGTCTAATGTAGGGTTGTTATTTTACATTTTTTTTATATATAAGCCTTCGACACAGAAAGCAGTTTGTACAGTTTCAAAAATAAAGATAATAAAACTGTCATGGTCGCTGGCGTTATATTATAGTAATCCAACTCATCCAAGTAGTATAATATTATAATGCTTAACCACGTTCCCGTCTTCCACGTCGCCTTTATTATTGTGATTTCTCCCACCGAGCGAACCAGGCGATCTAGGGTAGTGGTTACTGGCATGCAGCAGCCTACAAAATATGTGGTCGCCGGTCGGCCATATTTCGAACCAGTACTGTCGTATACGCCAGTACGTTAGTAGCGGCCCTCTAGCATTAATCGTATTTTCATGAGTTTCTTTTTAAAAATATTTAATATTTAGTTTTGAAAACGTTTTAAATGTTTTTTTCGTTTTAATAACTTTGATTTACGTACATTCAAACATAGTATTTAGTAATAATATAATTTTACTTTACTTGGATTGGTGATATTTTTTTATACAAAGTACCACTACATCAGTAGGTACTAGAGTCGTGAGTTTTTGTCACAACAATTTTGGTTACGGGTAATACAGTAAAGTACACTGCATACACAATGAAACCGGCAAGGTCTGTATTATAATTTATTATTCATAATGAAACTAAAAACACCTCATTATATTAAATTGATTATTCAAATCAACAAAATTTTGTTTATTATATGCATTACAGCATACCTAATGTATGTACCTGTCAACTTTTAAATTTTAAACATTATTTTAATAATCATAAATTAGAATAAATAACTATTTAACTTGAATTTTTTTAATTAAATTTACAATGAAATTTTTTTAAACGATGTGAAAAGTAACTTGAACTCTGCAATTGTTCAGTGTAATTATATTTTAAACATTGGAACTATATAGATTATTGTATAATTATGAGTTTTTATTTTTATTTCTGATAAGTTAATTATMTCACTTTGTAAGAAATTGAATGCGTCACGAGGACCGATTAAAAATATAATTTATGTAATTTTAACATTGGTTTTTACAAAAAAAAATATATATATATATTTCAGACGTTTATTAAAAGTCAATTTTAACATGATAATTTTTAATTCAGACTGCGAAAATATCGTGTGATTTTTATTTTTATTTTAATATTATTTCTAAAAATTCATCAACATGATGTTAAAATAGTTTGAATGTAAAGTTACTGCCATTCTTTTTAATTACTCAAACATTGCATCATTGCATGAAAAYACTTTATTTTTTTTATCATTAAAACATTCACAATATTTGGATTTTAACAGTTTTGACTGTATTTATGTAAATTTTTTATAAAAAAGTTATCTCGAATTAGTGAAAGTTATATATCTACTAAGGTAAAAAACGTATTGATACATAAAGAAATTCGATACTTTTATGTGGACATAATATTATATTATGACGTGTGTCTGTGTGTGTTACCAACCGTAAAAAGAACATTATCTATATTTAATACTTTAATAGTCTATATAGTTTAATCACTATCATTATTATCGACGTTTAACACAGCATTTACGAAATCGATAAATAGTTTTTGATTTGTATTTAATTTTGTATGCGTCGTAGGTATTAGCACTATAGTTGTACGACTGTACGAGTATAATGATATGTATAAACTATAGTTTGTGACTTTGTGAGACACGAAGGTGTTTTACATATTTCACGTTCGATATTGCGCGTAAACTGTAAGTTAATTATTAATTTAGATTAAGTTGACATGAATGATTTGAATATGGGATGGTATAGAAATTCGGAGAACGCTATATTATTAGCTCGCTAGTCATGTTGTTCATTACGAAATGTTTTAAAAAGATTGGAATTTTTATGGGCGTACGTTCATAACCTTAAAATTCACAAACCACGAAAACGTGTTGAAGCCACCAGTTGGCCACCTTTCCTCAAATAGCCGGAACTGTTATCTGGTCACCATTTAATCTTTAACAGAAAAGACAGAATCTGTTCTCGAGAAAAATGTGATAACCATGTATCGAATGACAATGACTTTTTTCACATTTTGATTTACGATATAGGTAGGTACCCTACCAATAAAAATGTAAATATTAAATTTGTTTTGACATCGGATATTGATTTACACAATTTTTCACATTATCAAAGTTACTGTTTATTATTTGTGTATAATAATTATTAATTTTACACTATATTCTTAATTTTATAACATAGTAAATTATCAAATAATAATTATTTATTATCGTATTATCATTAATTTAACACTATAAATGTACTTTAGTGTGTACTTATAGTTAATTATCAAATAATATTTGTTTATTATTTGTACATAATATCTACCTTATATGGTTGTTAATTGCATATACTGTTCATAAAACAATATGATATTTTAAATAATGTTTCACGGAAAATGTCTTTTGATTGCATTATGTCCATCATAAATTTGAAATTAATCATTAATGTTAAATATTAGAAACGCAAATGACCTAAAGTCTATATTAATTTTCTGGCGTTCGTTAAAAAATGTATTATAGACTATATGATTAGATGAGTAGAATTTAAATTAAAATTAGACCAAAAGCTGATGAACTGACGTCTCAGGTTTTAGAAAATATATAGATCTATTTTATTTATAAGGCACTTAAATTGTATTCAAGTTATTTCCAGCAACCATACGGCAAAAGTTTTATATAACAGAAAATACATCATACAAGTTTATCAAAACATCTTCGTGGCTAATAAATAATTAGGTATTATGAAAATGTTAATGAAAAAAATACAACCAATCTGCCAATATAGCAATTATTTTAATTAAAATTAATTCAATTTTTAAAAAGATGATCGACTTGTACGATATTTGATCAGGTTGAAAATTAATATTTTCTCTGAGATATAATATATAGAATATATTAGAAATTTTTAAATTAAAATTAAATTAATTTGTCAATTATATTAAAAAATAAAATAAAGGAACGCTAATAATAACAATTACTGACATAATTTTACATCAAACGTGGATAAAACAAAAGCAATCTTAGACATTGACATTTAAATTCTAAAAATTTCACATAAAATCTTATTCGATTAGAACATAATTATTATAACAGGTGCCATGCTGTGATTTAAATAATTGCTGACGAGATCATTTGATAAACMAAGAATAATTGGCGAACAGCTACGCATGAAACATATCGACGAACAATAATTATCGCAAATAATTATTTAATCAAATTTGATGTGCACGTTATTAGTAGCATCATACGAAGCATTGTGTGCGGTAATTTAAAACCCTCATGATATACATGCAAAATAATATGAAAACTGTCAACGATTATAAGTGTATGATATTAGTGATGAAAATTTAATTTTCGAAACAAACATTCATTTTTATGCCATCAAACATGCAGCATTTTTTATCAATATCATAAACTAAGTCTTATCGTCGACATTATTCTTTAACTATGATTTTCATTATACCACATATTATTAATGGATAACCATCGTATCACGTATTGCGTTAATAAGGCTATTGGCGAATATACACTTGAAAATGCAATTTCGGTCAAGAGAAATGTGAGTTGAGCTCAACGTTCACAAAATTCTGATATTTGCATTTAATCGTAATACTATGTGTCAATTACTACAATCGCAGTTTGGGTTTCTGGAATCTAGCGGCTATATTTTCAACACGAACAAAGTTTTTATTATTCTATAATAAGTCATAATTCAAACTAAGCCTTAAATATGTGAAGATTCAAGGAGGAACGATCGATTTACGTCATATGTTATTTGAACTGGCGTACTGAATAAGTAATGATTAAAAATGTTAAGAATTAGTGAAAACATTTGCGAACTTAACTTGAGAAACCTGGAAGAAAATCCGCTTTTATGCATTCACGATAAGTGTTCGTCGTTGTTTGCCGTTATACTATACTTACATATTAAATCTATTACTGATCTTGAGGATTAATGGATTCTATAATGTTATGTTGGAACTTCAAACAAAATATAATTAGTCACAACCATAATTTATTAAATTAATCAATTGAAATTCACTATGGGAAATATTTTAAATAATTATTTTATATTCATTAAGTTTTGTTGTTATTGAATTCACGAGTTAAGAAATATACCTATTACATAATCAGAGAATACAAAAATATGAAATATAGTGTTTTGAAATGCCTAAATTTAATTTAATTTAATTTTTTGTTTGAATATTACAAAATAATAAAATACTCTTTCAAATTTGATTTATCATTCACCTTAACTTAATTTATGTAATTTATTGAGATAAATTTTAAAGTAAATTTTAACTACCAACAATTAAACGTTTTTACATATCTCACTAAACGGTGTGTTTTCATATATTATACGTAACACATACGGAGATGATACAGTGTTCCTGAGAAGATGGCTATCAAAAATATAAACATCTGTATAATATTATGTCAGTCTATGTTTAATTCATGCCTCGAGAATGAAGTAGGTACAGTTGAAAATGAGTACACAACGATTTATGGTTTCAGGATTGAATGAATGGCAAAAACTATATTATTATAACACGATAAATTATGTTAAAATTGATTTTCATAGACCAAAATTGAAAATAGAGTTATACTAGATGTACTTATTAGAAAGTCTAGTCCATGTCGTTGCACAGCATAATTAAATAAATAACTAATTGATTAATTTTTATTATTTTGACCTCAATTAGTTTTATAATATAGGTATAGATCTATAACATAAGGCCATTAGTTTATATGATGTATAAACAAAATAATATATTACTTACATAGGCAGTTGGTTTTTATGAATTATTTACAATTGAATATCGCACAAATTTATTTTAAATATAAATTGAACATTTTTCTTGCTTCAGTATATTTTATTGATAAGTTTAAACATGATCCTATATGTTAATACATCAATATATCATTAATATATGAACAATATACGAATATACCTATTGTTTTTAAAAATGGACAGGAAAAAACTAAGATATTATTATAATAGTCAAACCAGTTAAGTTATTATTTTAAGAGGATTAGTACTTTTTAAAATGATCATAACTTACTCAAATATCAATAAAATCTTCCGTGATGCTCTGGCTAATACTCTTGCCTTTAAATTGTATAAGAGGTAAATTCACTCTAATTTTAAAGATTACCGAGTAAAACGAATTATTGTAAACGTAAAATTTTCCAAGTTGTACTTTTGTAAAACGGATACAACAGATGCCCTCGTGGCGTAATCTTTGTTAGAAAATAAACTGACTTATAGTAAGTAAAAAAAGTTAAAAAAATTAACTTTGTAACTATAGTTGATACTTGAAACCTATACCTTTGCTGGTAGTGGTTTGTTTCCCAAGTTTTTAGCGATTTGTGACAACTGGAATTTCACTAAATACGCAATACACTACTTAAATCCTGAATGTTTATACTACAATCAAATCGGGACCGAATCATTTTAAAAATTTAAACCAAATACCGATAGCAATCTGGATTGCGATGATCGATACGGCGAGTCATGATTTTAAAATAAACCTGGTTTTTAGGATTAACATTTTAAATATAATATTTAATGATATGCTTCGCCTGAAAAAAGATACTC